GTTCCCCGTGGGGGCCGGGCCGGGGATGCGCGGCGGAACGTGCCCGTCTGAACTGGGCGCTCCGGCTGCCCCGGCGAAGTCCCTACTCGGAGGAGAAGGTCCACAGAGCCCCCAGGTCACGCAGACCACGGACCACCTGTGGTTGGCACATCGCTCCTGAAAGATCGGCCCCGGAGACTTGTCCACTGGCCTTGGGGGGGGGGGGGTTTGCGTGGGAAGAGTCTGCTACCCGCCGGACCTGTGACGGTCCCCCTCCCCACCCCGGCCCAGTGTCCCCGCGCTCGGGACTGGAAGTCGAGAAGGATTAACTGGGCGAGGCTGCAACAGGGAGCTGGCTCCACGGTGCTCCTGGCTGGAGCGTGGCTTCTCCCAGTCTGTCCCGGAGCTGGGGTGGGGATGTGCCGCGGGGACCCCCTGACCTGCGGGCCAAATCCTCGTGGAAAGACTGTGCGTGGAGGCGCAGTGGTGAGGGCACGCGCGAGCCTGGACTGGGGATGCTGGACCTTGGATGGCCGTCCGGGGGCGGGGGCGATGAGGAATCCAAAAGAAAACACCACCCTCTTTCTGTCCCCTCTCCCTCTTTCCTTCCTATTTTCCCGCTGCTCTTGATAGCAGGCCCACCCGCTGCCAGCCCTTGGGCCCAAAGGGACACAGAACCGGGCCTCTTGGGACAAACTAGGAGGAACGTAGGCCTGGGTGGGCAAGCTGAGGGGCACAGTGGGATACCCGACCAAAGCTATACCCCAGGGCGGGGGTAGAGGATGCTAGGAGTGCGCTGTGAGGCCTCTTCAGCCTCTGGCTCTACTTGGCGCTGGACCAGCCCAGCGTGATGGTCACTCGGGCCTCCAGTGTCCCCCGGGCCGGCCCAGAGCCTGGCACCCGCAGGGCTCAGGAGGACGGCGATTTCTTGTGAAAATACTTCCATGCCTGAGCGCACCCTGAGCTGGAGGTGAACTCAGGCACACTGGCTTCCTGCTGTACTTGGGCTTTCTTTCCGAAGCCAAAAATAGCCCAAATCATGGTTTGCTTTTTATACTTTTTTCTGTAACGGACCACATTTGCATAAATTCCCACTGGGAATTTCCCCGTTTCAAGGTTGACCGCGGTTTTAGCATGTCCAGAGGCCTGTTAATGAAGTCAGGGGATTTACCAGGTGGAGTGCCCCCCTCCCAGGGCACCATTGGGTTTGCTACCCACCCCCTCCCCTCCCAGCCAGCCGCACTCAGTGTGGTATTGAGTGAGAACCTCAGTGGCAGCGACAGGGGCTGGGGCTGGGGTCCCTTGGGCCTCTTCGGCTTTGGAGTGAGGCACTGCCCAGTTCTTTGGTCATCTTCGCCCAGTCATCAAGCAAAGGGATTCGGGCTCTATCTTCAGAGAGCACCACTTCCTCCTTTCTTTCTTAGAAATTCGAGTCCAAATGTGGTTTTCCCCTTAAAGATAAACTTCTGGAACAGTCCTCTCCAAATAAGAGCTAGTGGTTTGTGAGTGATCCGACTCCAACCCAAACTGATCGTTGTCCTCCTTTAGAAATGCACTTAGTGGCCACCCAACTACCTCCCCACCACCCCGCCCAGCAGCCTGTGACACCAGAGGCTCAAGAGGCCTCCAAGTTCACACCTCAGGCCACTTTCTCAACCACCCCGTTATTTTTACCACAAAGACAATAGATTTTCAACCTTGCTAAAAGAACACAAAAGCAGGCATATGTGGTAAAGTCCACATTTATTCATGATGTGTACAAAATCTACATAGGAGGAAAAAGTAATTTGTCAAAATTGCCAAAACACTCAAGATAACTTTTTTTAAAATAGATTTTTATTAATTTCAGAGAGGGAGAGAGAGATAGAAACATCAATGATGAGAGAGAATCATTGATGGGCTGCCTCCTGCATGCCCCCCACTAGGGTTCGAGCCTACAACCCTGGCATGTGCCCTGACCGGGAATCGAACCATGACCTTCTGGTCCATAGATCAACACTCAACCATTGAGCCATGCTGGCTGGGCTCAGGACAACTTTTAAATCAATAACATTTTTAAAAAACTATTTTACCCAAGAATATTTAGTTCCAATGAATAATTTTAATTTTAATGATTGTTAAAAGTCTCATACATCTCACTTACACAATTTGTTGATTTTAGTTGAAAAATTTGTGGGCCATTTAAAAAGTCACTACTTCAGTTACATTTCTGAAGCAAGCCACTTAACTGTACTGACCACCTATAACAGGAGGATCTTTCAGAATTATAAGCAGTGGGTGTAAGAACTGAAAAGTGGACACCCCTGCAGTGGTGACCCCCCAAACTTTGTTTGGAAAGCAAAGTGGAGCAAACCCAAGCCCACCCCACTATAAATACCAGGGTCCCACCTCCTGGGCTAGGGTGAGAATTGAACGGGAGGGTGATATTAAACATTTGCACACTGTTTGGAATTCAGCACACCATAAGTGTTAACTTCTGTTATTATTAAAATTAAAGTATCCATTCACCTTGATGACATACTAGTAAACTTTTTGCAGAAGCTGCTTCACCAGATTTGTTTTCCTATTTAGAGAGGAAACTAGCCCTTATGAGATGACTGAGAAATGCCTTCCATTTTCTCCGTATGGAAGGCAGTGTGTCTTGGGATAAAGAGCAGACTGCTGCCCTAACCGGTTTGGCTCAGTGGATAGAGCATCAGCCTGCGGACTCAAGGGTCCCAGGTTCGATTCCAGTCAAGGGCATGTACCTTGGTTGCAGGCACATCCCCAGTGGGGGGCGTGCAGGAGGCAGCTGATCGATGTTTCTCTCTCATCGATGTTTCTAATTCTCTATCCCTCTCCCTTCCTCTCTGTAAAAAATCAAAATATATTTAAAAAAAAAAAAAGAGCAGACTGCTATCAGAACTGGTTTCCAATTATGGCTCTACCACTGCTGAGCTACATCCATAACAGTAAGCCTATTACTGTGGGTTATACCAGTGTTTACCTCACCAATCACCTACTCTTGATACTTAGGCTATTTCCAGCATTTTCTTACTGTACACACTGTCCAGGTATTTCCTGAGAAGAAACACCCATGTCAAATGGCCTGAACTTTTTAAACTCTAGTATTTTCTTCACTGCTGTATTCAAATGGTAACCCAAAGTCTTGGGGAAAGAAACTCAAGAAATGTATAAAAACCGTTCTGAGGAAAAGAGACATGAATCAATGGAGAGAGCCCTACCATCGATATTTCATTTTCTCGCTCCCACTTTCCCTCAGAAAATCATCTTCAAGGATGGAGTTTGGGGAAGCTTATTACGTTGTGAGGTTTGCAGCAGGCTGCTGCAGCTCTCCTGATCCCTACTGTAGAAATTAGAAGTGAGTAGTCACCCTGGTTTTTTTGTGTGTTTTTTAAAATATATTTTATTGATTTTTACAGAGAGGAAGGGAGAGGACTAGAGAGTTAGAAACATCGATGAGAGAGAAACATCGATCAGCTGCCTCCTGCACACCCCCCTACTGAGGATGTGCCCGCAACCAAGGTACATGCCCTTGACCGGAATCGAACCTGGGACCCTTGAGTCCGGAGGCTGATGCTCTATCCACTGAGCCAAACCGGTTAGGGCTCACCCCGTTTTTTAAACAGTTCTAAGTAGACCAAAATTATTTGACTTGGAGTTTTTGCAAATTTTCCTGAGTTGATTGCAAAAGGTGGAAGGAGCCTAGAACATCCTGAGGTCAGTCTACAGAAATTGCTGCTCAGTTTACCTGTCTGATCTCCTTAGAAATACAAAGACAAATGTCTGTGTGTATTTTTGGATCTCCCCATTAAAGAGATTAGCTGCTGTTAGGCCCCAACTCAATTCACTTGACAGCAACTAGATCCCTGCTGGTGTAATCTGAATTGGTGTAACCATTTAAGAACTTCATCTTCTTTTAAGGAGGATTTCTGCCTTCATGGTTAAGTATTTTGGGAGGAGTATATGCATGTGTGCACCTAACTGCCAATTCTTCTGCCTTTTTCTTGCTTTTGGCGGAATCCGCAATAATGGGCTATAACTAGAAAACCCATGTTTACTCCAAGGTCAAAACGCCTTGGGCCCTCATCGGAATAAAGGTGGTTGGTTTTTTAAGCCCCATCTAGGGAATCATATGTGATGTGAAGCTGTTAAAAGACCTACTCAACAGAAGGCTTCTCCATTACCTGGTCTCTCACCCCAAGTACAGGGCACCCTTTTCCCCATCACTGGCCCTTTGTTCATGCCCTGATTTTAGCTCTTATTGCCCTGTTTTCCTATTTATTTATTTATGTATTTATTGCAAAACTATCTTCCTTCTTATAACCTGAAAGTTCAAATACAAGAACCAGGTCTTCTTAGGGTTTTTTAATCCCCAGCACCTAGGAGGATAGCTTACCATCTTGGTTGAGCCTCTACACATCCCTGATAAAGGAAGGAGAAGGCACGGCCTGCTGGACCAGGCCCCCGCTATCTCTCAGAACTTCTGGATTTACACAAGATCAAGCACAGGTAAACCCAGAGCTCTCCTCCCTGGGCACTCTGGATTCCCCCCCACCCCCCTGCTCAGGGTCCTCACATCACTGTCTGGCACTTGTCCTCTGAGATCAGCAGCCTCACTGAGATCTCCACCTTAAAGCAGACTCTGCTTCCCCAAACCCTCCTATACACACACACACCTGCACCCCATCTTGTCTTTACAGCCAAACCTTCTGCAAGAAAGACCTCCCTTAATAATTCCACTTTCCATCCTTCATTTACTCATTTTAAAAATATGTGGGTGAGGCGGGGGTTAAGTTACAAAAATAGTACATGCTTCTCGGACAAACCCCCAAAAGCCCCGAGTCTGTAAGGTGGGAAGGCCGTGTCTCCCCTCGCTATCTTCCCTGTTGCTCCTTGAATCTCTGTCATCTGCTTCTCCACACCCTCGCCACTGCCTCTCCCAGGGTCCGCGGAGGCTTCTTTCCTATTGAATTCAAAGGACATCTCCAGCCCTGACCCACATCCTCTGCCTGAGCAGTGACCATGACACACATACACAGTCCATAGGACTCACCCTGGCTGCCCATATTGTAACCACCCAGCTCTCCAGTGCAGAGCTGGAAGCTGGACCCCTCCCCCCGCCCCCATTTCATATTCCATACCCCCAGGCCCTAAGGCTCCAGGAGGGAAAGGAGGTGGGATTTCTGCCCACACAAACTGCAGAGGGGCAAGGCTGAAGGCACTGAATTTCAAGAACAGAGGCCATGCTGGGCTGTGGGCTACCACAACAGGGGGTCCCAACTATGCTCAGGAAACACTCCTGAACAAATCCATGGAGGAGACACCTGAGCAATCCAGCTTCGTCGTGATCCTAAATCTAAAGCACCCTGCCCATCCTATGAGAGCCATTAGCTCATAAGTCCTGAAGACCAGCCTGGCACAGAGTTTGTGGGAACTATATCCACCCTTTACAACACAAGCCGTGGCTGAGACAACAGTTACTCTTTCATTGACACGTTTTTTAGCACTTGAACATGACTGTCTCTGGTTCCGTGCCTGTACGGGTACAGATTCTCAACAAGTCACCAGAACATTTTGGCACTTTATTTTTGGACCAAAAATACCCCCAGATGCACAATCCATGTCTCAATATGTACATTTATCACAGACTTCCTCCACGGAATCCTCCCCCGCCCCCCAGTGACTCATGCCCACGTTCTCTGCAGTGGCAGCTGCCTTCTGAGTCCCCCTCACCAGACTGTAAAGAGGCTTCAGGCATCATCTCCCCTTTGTGACCTAGCTTCTGGTTTCTTCTCTCTCAGCACAGACCTTTTCCCCTCCCATCCCTCATAGACATTCTCCTCAACAGTGTTTTTGAATTAAGTATTAATTTCATGGAGGGATAGGAAAGCATTTCAGCACGGTCCTGCTCTGAAAAGCTGGCAGTTACTCTGTGATGAGACAGACGCCTGTGCCTGCCTACTCGCTCATGAGTGTCCCGAGAGCTGCCAACCATTGAGGCTACAGACCACTCAAATCGGAAGGTTTGAACAATATCACTGAACACAGCAGGACACAGTAAAGTTCTCAAATTTAGACAGTGACACAGAAAGAACACCTCTGTTGAGGGGAGCAGCCAGACCAGAGTCTTTATGACCCAAAACATGAGGCATTTTGGATGGACAGTGACTCTTGCTGGCTGGTTGAATGTGTTGGCAGTAGAACCTGAAGAATGTATAAAAGTCAATATTTCAACTCATTTCAACTCTCATTCAAGCCTAATGATGTGTGTGCATTGGGTGCTGGGGTGCAGTCAAGGCTACCCAGATCATTGTCTTGTCACTGTAGACCCCAAGAAGAAAGATTTATTTGATGTGAACCCTGAGGAGGAATTTATCTTCTGAGATGGATTCCCAACGGTCAACTGAGAGTCGAAAGTTTTTAATAGGAGTCTCGTGGCCATTTGCTGACGGGGGGTTCCTCGCACGCTCCCTATACCAGGAAGAACCTCAGGCTGAACGCTCAGCTTCCCACACTCTGCCCCACGTGTGCTACCAACTAACTTAGACCTGCCCTATCCCATCAGAACTGCACGATCTAAATACCTCACTTTTATAAAAAGGACTTAATTGGAAACTTGGGTGGGAACTTTCACTATACAAGGTGGCCTCCCCTTTGTCTTGGGGGAACACAATTCACATTGTTACCTGAATCTGTGTCTCCCGGGCTGTAGCTCCATAGGCTTTAGTGCCGAACTGGCCAGAATATGTCCCACCCCGCAGAGGACCGAGAACCACAACAATTTGACTTGTGATATTCCCCAGCTCTCTATTACATATAGCTTTCCTGCTTACCATGTCACTCTCCACTCTCTCGTTGAGCCCCATATTTTTGGGCCCAAATAGCCCTTCCTTGGATTTGTAACCAAACCGGAACTTCAGTTCTTTAATACAACTTTTTCATTAAGGAAAAAGCTAGCTGTGCCCAGTCTAATAGCACCATGACATACTGCACATCCACTCCCTTAATCATTAAGACCTTAAGACATTAGGTTCTGGTCAGAGTCAAACTGTCTTAAGAATAAAGCCTCTGGTCCGTTGATCAAAGGAAACAGAGTTTCAGTCAAATTAAAAATAACATCTCGGCCTTGGTTGTGTTTCAGTCCCAGGCCCATGAAAGCAGAATGACCTTCCAACCACAACCTCAGGAAACTAGACAGGATATGATGGCTGACATCGGGACCTGATACAATGATCAGTGACTTCCTACCCGGGCCCCAACCTATCAGTAGAGCCCATGACCCCAACTCCATCAGTCACCATGATTAATGATTTTTTTCCTGTACACAGTCTGACCCTGTGCGGGCCATCGGGGAGCCAAGTCTGAAAGCACTAGCTTACCTGTGTCTCCAGGCTTGGCACCATTCCCTTAAATAAACCTCTACTTTCTTTACTGCAAACTCCTCTTCCCGTTTCATTGGGCTTTGACGTGTGCGAGCAAACAGACCTCTTTAGTCTGGTAACTGACTGTCAGAGGAATGAGACCAACTCATTCTCCATCTGGCTCAGATCATCTACCCTGAGGAGAAGATTGATTTCTGAATTGTGTCAATCTATTTTTTAAGAGGTTTTCCCTAAATCCCAAAAATGTCTCAAAATGAACTTAGTTTCTCTCTTCCTCCAACCAGGCCTCTCGGGGCTCTGGCATTCTCTCAGCACCTCCTTACCTGCCTCCCATCTTCATTTTTCAGTCTTCCCAGACTTTAGGGTGCCTGCATTGGGACACTGTTGATTAAGCATTTATCTGATTCCACCAGCAAAAAAACATGACTATATCCCTACACCATCAGATCACAAGTGTCCCCCACCCCCATCCAATGTACAAATGCAGAGAGCTCTCAAATAAAGCATGATTGTGTCTTTTAAGAACTGCCAGTAATGTTTACTTGCCACTCATTCACCCTTATGGTCACCTGTGAACATTCGCCACTCAACAGTTGCAAGCACTAAAAGGTAAAGTAAAATGTTGGTGTAAATGACCCTTGAAATAGTGATGGTAGACTTCTACACATCTGGCACTTTTCTGTGAATTTGGAAAAGACAACATTTGTTTTGTTCCATCTGAAGGGGATTCAGGCAGCTTCCTGGACCACACATTTCTCACCAAGATGCAGACTCTTAGTGGATCTGTGTGCCTTTTGATCTTGCCCCTAGGCCATGCCAAATCCCCAATCCTTCATGTTCTTCTTTTCACCCAGCATCACACCCTCAGGTTGTTTTCCTCCCCTTTCTCAGGGAAATTCTATGAGATCTCACCTAAATTCTTCTCTGCTTCCAGGCCTCACCCCTGACATGCCATCACCCACAGCCAGCTAACCTCTTCTCTGGAGTCATGCCTACGACTCCACGCCTTGGCACTATCACCCAGGCTAATGAATATTGCCCTGGAAAGTAATGTCTGTTAACAAAAAACTTCCTAAAAATATGGGAGTGGTCTCCACACTCAGGGGTTCTTAGACCTGGTCAGAAATTCTGACACCTGCTCTTGGTTCTTGCCGTTCTAGACGCTCACCACTTTCACCTCCTCCCACCCAACTTGGTCTTAGCAGGCAACCTGACTCCAATGTCAGTGGTCCACAGGGCCCTTCTCTCTGTGTCCATCCTCCCCTGGCCATCTCATCCTATCCCTGGCCTTCCTCACATGCAGAATTCCTGAGTTAAGCTCTAAGGGCACAGCCAGACAATGCCCTGGATAACACTACCTGGAGGCCCTTTGCTTAAAGTGTTTTAGAAGCTCAGTTCTTTTTAGCTTGGGTAAGATACAACTTCTCTAGGGCTAAATATCCCTCTCTAGGGATAGCAACATCCGCCTTACAAAGTTTTAAGAGAAGATTTCAAAAAACAACACATGGGAAAATTTTAACATGGAACCTGTAATTGAATAAGTACTTGATCAATATTAGAGGCCCAATGCACAGATTCGTGCATGGGAGGGGGGTCCCTCAGCCTGGCTGGTGCCCTCTCGAAACCTGGGACCCCTGTGGGGATGTCCGACTGCCACGGGGAATTGGGCTTAAACCGGCAGTCGGACATCTCCCGAGGGATGTAGCAGTGCGCCAAGCTGCAGGCAGCCAAGGAGGAGCTTGAGCGGGGCCAGGCACTGCACCACTGGTGCTCATCCCGGCCCGCTGCACCTGCTGCCGCTGCTTGGTAGCACTGCTTAGGAGTCGGAAAGGCTCCTGCCGCTGCTGCAGCTGCACTTGCCAGCTGTGAGTCCGGCTTCTAGCTGAGCGGTGCTCCCCCCGTGGAAGCACATTGACCACCAGGGGGCAGCTCCTGAGATGAGCATCTGCCCCCTGGTGGTCAGTGTGAGTCATAGCGACTGGTTGACCGGTTGACTGGTCTTTTGGGTCATTCAGTCATAATGGTCGTTTAGGCTTTTATATATAGACTAGAGGCCCGTTGCATGAAGAGATTTGTGCAATAGGCCTTCCTCCAATGGCTGCCGGCACCGGTTTTCCTCCGGCACCCGGGACCCAGGCCTTTGCTCCAGCCACAGCGGAGAAGCCAAGCCTTTTCAGTCTTCAGTCGTCTTCAGTCTTCAGTCTTCAATCTTTGCTCCACGCGTGCATATGCAAATTAACCGCCATCTTTGTTGGGTTAATTTGCATGTCCATCCTGATTGGCTGGTGGGCGTAGCGGAGTGACACCAATTTGCATGTTTCTCTTTTATTAGTGTAGATTGGCACTCAGTAAATGTTTGTGGAAGAAAGGCTAAACCCAGAGTCCCAGCTCTCTCCCTACCCCAGAAATTCCTTTAATCTCTGTATCTGTGGCTCCTCCCTTACCAAAGGCATCCTGGGAATCCTCTGTACTAGAGCCTATCCCCCTCTCCCACCTTCCACTGCCAATGAATTCCTGCCTCCATCCACCCAGTAGTGTGAGGGGGCAGGGGCCCTTCTGGTTCCAGATATCTCCTGCCCTGGAATTCAGGACTGTTTCCAGTACTACTCATGGTTCAGGCATTTCTTGTTGGCTCAGGAGCTTAACAATTACTCATACCATTGTTCATCCCAAATTCCCCTCGGCCATGTCACTGACTGGGGAATGCCCACCCTGTGTGTCCCTCAAACTTAATAATGAATATTTTAACCCAAAGAATGATGAAGAATGTTCCCAGGCGATCCAATTCCCCACAAGTCTTCTTTAGGGGTATTATTAACCCTCATGCCCATCTTCCACTCCAATTCATAGGGAACACGTGGACTTCTCTTGGCCAGTAGAATAGTGTTTCAGCCACTGTTTAACCTCTTTATGTTCCTGTTTCTCTGTAAAGATGGGAAGAGTAATGATACCTTCTTCATAGTTTGGTTAATGAGGATTAAATTAGCTAATTTATGTAAAAATGCTTAAAACAGAGGCTGGCACATAATAAGCATTACAGAAGTGTTAGAATTGGCATTACTGTTGTTGTTCTTTAGAAAACAAGCACATTGTTCTCCAGTATAACTGTCTTGATGGATGCGCTGCGGTCCTCCTTTGCTCTCCATGGCCTCCAATTATACCAGATTCCTGTTGTGCCACAATAATTTTTAAAACATGTAAAGCCTGACTATTTAGTCAGACACACTGCCCTCTTTTTCCTTAGATTGTCAAATAAAAAAATTACAACAGCCAACACAATAGCCATCCATGTGAATGAATCAAAATTATACCTATTGTTTTTGTCAGATCGGCAAAAAAATAAATTTTTTGGTGTGCCACAGAATTTTAGTAATTAGTTTATGTGTGCCATGAGATGAAAAGAGTTGAAAATTGCAATTCTAAACGACTGACAAACAGCATTTTAACACACATCTTCATTCATAACCTGAGAACTGCCTATTTTAATATTTTGGTTTTATATTCATTTATGAATCAATGTAGATGAAATTCACAAAATAACTCCTGCTTCTTTGAGATTCATTGTTGGATCATTTCATGTTAAGCACCTCTTCTTATGAAAGTACTAGAGGCCTGATGCACGAAAATTCGTGCAAGAGTAGGCCTTCCTCCCCCCAGCTGCTGGCACCGGCTTCCCTCCGGCACCCGGGACCCAGGCTTTGCTCTGGCCCAGGCTTCGTCCAGAAGGACGTCTGGAATGACTCCCATAAGGACATTCAGTCTAATTAGCATATTACCATTTTATTATTATAGATTTGGCAAGAGAGGATGGTAGAATATGGATAGCAGGTGTGTAAAAATTCAAAACATTAACTATCCTATTCTAACATTATAGTTGGAAAATTAAAAACATGTATTTATTTTATAATGCAAACTACAGAAGATAAATAACAAGTCCCCTGAATGGCAGGAATAGGCAGAAAATAAAGCAAGAAAGCCTTTAGTGGAAGCATACATTAAGGTAATGCACTATGTTCTCCTGGGCTATAAAATCTAATTTGTTTCGCTGTGTCCTACAGCACAGTATATGAGCTTTCTGTTTAAATAAAAATATGCATATATTTTAAAAATAACATTGAATTTTATATATACTGTAATAAAGTATAAAAGTAGACAGCAGGGACGTCTTCTGTCTGCATCGGTTAGCATTTGTCCTTTACCCTGTATGGGTGGCATTAGACTGTTGTCAAGAAAGATGACGTAAATCTTCCCAGAATGTGCTGAAGTTAGGCCAAAGACACGGTGCTTGGAAATCAAAGGTGGTCTCAGCCTTTGAGTTTCAGACACATCTGGGGGTCCAGACCAGCCACCCCAGCCTTCACACTCCACAAGTGTGGGACCAAGTGTTTATGTCAAAACCTTTCATTTTGAGTTACCTTGTTTTTCTTTTGAGGTAGTTAAAAATGGCATCGAAATTTTTTGACAATGTCATATATGGATTCGTG